TTTGCTTATACGTATGTAAACACTCTAGAGAGTAAAACTGACATTTATGAGTTAATTTCTAAAAATATATTTTACGTTTCTCTCTTCTTATCAGGGAGGGCGGTGCCCCAGCGCCCCCTATGGGCCGGCCGCCACTGGAGCACAACCTACCAATTCAAGCCTATTTCCCTAGTTCTGTCGTTTGTTTGTAAATACATGGCATCGACCAAGTTTCTGTTTCCTGATCAAAGACTCTTCTGCCTTTTCCTGTGGCTTTCTGCATAACTAAATGAAAATGCTGTTGTGATGGTTGATCCTCAGAACAGTTTCTTACCATCTTAACCTTTACATCTGATGTATATATTTTTGGTATATTTCTCACAATAAAAGTTGGTAACATCACTTTTCTGACTTTTACAGGAAGTGACCTTTTAACTTATAATTGTCAGCTGGGACACAATGTAACTCTGAAGTCTGGACTGCAAACAACTGAGATGAGCCATTCTGCCAACTGGACGAACGGTTTAGATTTTAATGGAAAAGAGATTGCCAGTTTTCAGAACTCTGTTGTCAGATATGGAGATGGCTTCAACAATTTCTTTCTCAATAAAACCAACTTAGATCTGACCATTATTCAAGTAACTAATAACCAAAGTGGATTTTACTGCTCCGAAATTAAATGGAATCAGTGTCATCATATTAGTCTAAAACATCAGGTCAAAGTTTATGGTAAGTGTTTTTTAAGCATTAATGTGCTGCATCTCCTAAGGCTTTACTGTAAGTTCAATACAACATACAGTGTAAACTTTGGTTCATTGTGAATTGGCAAATCCGATTTTTTTGCTTTGCCGTTCACATTTCCAAATATATGCGACTTGTGTGTGATCTCCTGTGTATACTGCAGTCATACAGCTTAAGTCACAGGTGTCAAACTGGTTCCAGAAAGGGCCGTGTGGCTGCAGGTTTTCTTTCCAACCAAGCAATAGCACACCAGACTCCATCCATGTCATCAAGTCATCATGTTCAGATTGGACTCCCTTGATGAGATGACTGGAGTCTGGTGTGCTATTGCTTGGTTGGAAAGAAAACCTGCAGCCAAACGGCCCTTTCTGGAACCAGTTTGACACCCCTGGCTTAAGTGTTCTGCATGCGCAGTGGAGGACGCAATGACGTCACAAGCCAGCGTGCTCTGTGTTTACGGAAGTAAATATGGAAGGTAGTGCCTGAGCGCATCTAGCAATCTTTCCAAATCTTAAAACCTTAATCTTTTCTAGATGGATAAACTGAAACAATAAATACTGCACTCCGCATCATCGTACGCCATGGTGGTTATTTTTTTGCCGCTTCTGTGTAGCAAGAAGCAGAATAGTGACCTTTGTCAGGTATTAATGACGTTCAGGTCGGATGAATGCGACCTGGCCGTTCAGACACAGGTTGCATTTGAAAAGATCAGATTCGTATCGGATTCAGGACCACATAGCCAAATGGCCTGGGTCGCATTGGAAAAAAACGGATCTCTGTTGTTCAGACAGCCATGAAAAGATCAGATACGGGTCAAATATGGGCAAAAAAATCGGATTTGGTTCACTTCAGGCTGCAGTGTGAACGGAGCCTAAACTGTCCTGCTAGAATCAGTCACGCCCTGCTAACGAGCTCATATTGGGTTCAGGTGTGTTGAAACAAACACATCTAAAAGTTGCAGGACATCAGACCTCATGGGTTTGAGTTTAAGACCACTGATCAAAATACCAACAATATTGTAAAAACGATAGATTTTATAAATTAAATGAATGAAACAATAATTTCATGACTGATTTTCTTGATGTCAGTATTGCACAACTGCAGATTTCTTCTGTTTTCTTTTTTACTAACAGTTTAGCTGTTTTTTAGTTCATATGGCAAAGAAAGAAACAAACCAAAAGAAGCAAAATTAAGACATTTCTTTCCAGAACATCAATGTGTTTTCTTCCTGAGGAACAAGGATACCAGTTTTTTATCCATTTCCCCAGCTGGGAATAAACGTTAATAATTTCTTATATTTCATGAATATATATTTTCTAAAATGGCTTCTTAATCTCTACTTTAATCTAATTATTTGTCTGAACCTTATGCTCCTTCTCTTTTCTGCACATTGTGGTATCAGATGTTTAGTCACTCATAGATATCCACTATAACTTTCAAATTACAGCTGAAAGTCATCTTTCTCTGTAGATCCTGTCTCTACGCCCAACATCACCAACGTGCCTCAACCAGCCCGCAGGTTTTGTGCTGCAAAGTGTTCTGTGAAGAATGGACCTGACCTAAACCTGACCTGGTACTATGGAGACATCATTATCAGCAACATCAGCAACCCAAAAATCTCCATCCTCACTTTGCAGATAGAGATCCAGAGGGAGGATATTTCAAACTACAGCTGTCGGGCACAAAACCCTGTTAGTTTGGAGATGACACCTCTAAGCTCAGTATGGCATCCATGTCATTCCTCAACTACTTCTGCAGGTGATATATGCAGGGAAAATAATAGCATAATATATGCTGGGAAAAAATATTCTGGGAAAAAATAATAACATAGATGTGTTTCTCTGAATATATTTCTATTTAACCGCATTTTAACTCTCTTGTAAGAGATTACTCTTTAAAGTACTCTAACATTAAAATATTAAATAATTTCACATCATTGATGAGCTTCTTTAGAAATGTGCTTCAAGTTCTTTGTTTTCCTTTAAGCTCATTTTAAATGTATTACATCATGATAAATATTTTAACCTTTATATCTTTATTTTAAACTTTACATTTATTTTTTCTGATTAACAGGTAGGAATCATTACATCTTTATCGGCCTACTAGGCTTTATGGTTTTGGTGCTTGGTGCTGGATGTCTTCTTTTTTTCAAAAAAAGAGGTACATACATTTTAACACACACACACATATTATATATATATATATATATATATATATATATATATATATATATATATATA